ATCACACATTTAGTGATTGTGTAAAGTGTTTGCCATCCCTGCTTGAAAGCAAAGAAAAAATAATTTAAATCATTTTAAGGAAAAGCAAGTTTTTTGCGGTAAGTATGTATTTGCTCCATTCATTCCAAATTCTGAACAGTTACGAGTTGGCCTCTCTCAATTGTAAATACTGAACTTCAAAAATTAACATTTTATATTTTTAAAACTTTGCGACGTAAAAATCGAATTCGCACGTACCCCGCAATACAACATAATTGTTATGCTTGAACATAAAAATTACACGTCGAAATGTATAATCTCTAGAGACAGGTTTTCCATGCAAATGTGTGTTTTTATTTAAGCTTGGTAGAGATTTCAAACTGTAATGTTTCATGAAAAACTTATCATCGGATTAGATTTCGTTTTTGAGGTGTGGTCTGATTACATTTGTAATGTAAAAAGGTCATTTTCTGCATTCAAAAACAGTTGTTTTCTGACAAAAGAACGAATTTGACATTAAGCAGTTTAGAAAAGTTGTATATAATTCACTTTTACAAAAAGCAATATAACTAAAAATGAAGGTAAAATAAAATTTGATTGTTCATGTTTTATCCATTTTTACCCCAGCATCGAGGATATGTGGTTATTTCATACTGTATGTTTGCATACATATTTTAGCATTTGACAGAGCGTAGAAATTCTGTCTCTAATAATCTCATTTCAAAATAATTTGAGAAAAACGGAAGACGTGAGACCTTACCCGTACTGCTTTTTGGAAAGGAGGCGATCATTTCACATTGAAAAACAGAATACTTAGCAAAAAAGGAATTAAAGGACGATGGGATCCTTATGTTTTCTTTAAGGAAAGGAACATAAAGCATGATTTCTATTAAGAGAAAAATCTTCTTTTATTTATTGTTAAAAGAAATAAAAATAACAAAATAAAGTATTTCTTTTCTATAAAATTGAAATACAAAATAAAATATGTTGTCGAAACTCAAGGAAAATTAATTTTGTTTTAGTAGCCCAGCTGTTTCGTCTTGCTGCTCTAGACGAATATCCACAAACAATGAGAAATAGTAATTTAAATTAAAAAAACGCACAATATTTATAGGAGTTGAGTAATAATTAAAGGGCAAAAAATAGTTAATACAAATATAATTTCGTACATGTTAGCATATACAGCACCGTACAAAATAAAAATGAAGTTATGAAGTATGACAGAAGCGCTCCAAAGGGCTGGGTACGATTACCGAATTCCACCACTTGAAAAATCATCTCAGTCGTTTCATTTTATAAATTAAACAAAAAATTTGATATGCAAAATAAATTCAAAATTGTAAATACGAGTACGTACATAAGAGAAATTCGACATTACCTTTCTTCAGCAAATTAAGCTCGTATTGGTCCAAAAGATGCCAATTATAGCAAATTACTCTCAAGACCTTGAATGACTTTATAGGCGTAAACCCAGAACAGTACAAGAAAACGTCATACAGAACTTCTGATATCACGCTTTCTATTGTTTTATGTACATCGTTGCCATAGATCATGAAGCTAGCTCCATGTGATAGATATTTACATTTGCGCGTACATGTAATTGCCTCATTTTATCCCTTTATTCAAATATGTTATTATTAAATGTTTTATTATACTAATTTTCAGTATTACTTAATCTTCATATTACCAGCAGTACTAATTTATATAACATAAAATTTATTGTATTTAAAATGTTTACATATCTTTTTACACGCATATATATGGCGATACATTTTATCACGATGCTTCAGTCACAATAAACAATATTAGAAGCTCCATGAAAGTTGATGTTTCGGAGTAGGAATCCAGACGACGATAGTAACTTGTTATCAGGAGACTGTAAGATTATGGAAACATGAATTGTATCTCGTTATTTCACTAACGAAATGTACAATTTCCTGCAACATTGAACGATATTCATTTTTCGGTAATGCAATATTAGTGACTCCAGCAACATTGCAAGGTCCAAAACACAAATTTACGAGTATTTACTTGGCTGTCCGGGTGACGCCGCGTCCGTGGCTTCGGCACCTTTGCCATGGACGCGGCCTCGCCCGGACGGCCAAGTAAATACGACGGCCGCGAAAGCCTACGCTCTCACAAATTTACGACGTCATCGATATTGCAAAGGCTGCTCAACTAACGTACAACAGGGCACGAGTAAGTCAATTTTACAAACTGTTAGCAAGAACTCGCTAACATTAAATTACTGCAGGTGGAAGCGCAATTCTAACTTGCTGGAACAAACGTGCGTAGTTAATTTCGAAAATAGATCATCTTTCTGCAGCTGACTGTACGTCATGACATTTTCACTCAATCACCACCCACATGATTGAATGGTTGTTTGTTGGTGATTCCGGGCGCGTCAACTGCTAAAGCAATTAGTCCCGTAACAGTAGTGCATGTTTTTTTCCTCTGGGGATGCAGGTGATCTTACCGGCTGGATGGCGAGATCCGGTGTCAACCCACTGTCGGATTTTAGTGGGGATTTCCTCAATCCGGTATCTCCCATGCACAGCCCCAGTCGGGTCAAGCACTAAGCTCCCGACCTGTCTCTTTGGCATGTGTGGTAGTGCATGTTAGTTTAAGTGTGCATAAGGGGTGATAATAGGATAAGGAAGAGGAAGGAAAGGTGGCGTGCAGTCCCTGGCCCGTTTGTTAGGGTTCTACTCCGGCATCCACGTGGTGATGATTGGAGAAACCATGGAAAACTACCGATAAGAGCAGCCGGCCGCTGGAATTCTCCTCCAGACAGTGACTGAACTCGATCTAGCGGACAAGCTAGTGTCGAAAATCCTGCCAGATATCAGCTGATTCCCTGTACCGCCGACCTCGAACCCGTATGCGAATACGAACAAATGAATAAATTAAATAGAATTATCCAACTTCCTGAACAAAAACTAACAACGAGAGGATAATTAGCAACAGGACTCGCATAGATTCAGTAATAAAAAACTAGTACACACACACAGCACACGCACGGGCCAACAGGACACACATGCGCGCGCGCACACGGCAGCGCGCGCGCCGCGCCGCGCACACACAGGCGACACACAGTTTCACACCACACCACACACACACCTGTAATGATACCTGTAAAACCATTCAGATAAACATCAAACATAGCAAAAACGAAGTAGAACATGTTACCCTTCAAATAAACTATAAAGACCATGCCCAGACCAGACCCATAGGCCAAAGAAACTATAAAGCAATGGCTGATTTTGCATACTTAAAGAAAAAATAATATAAAAAAGTACTCTGGAAAATAATGAGAAGAAAGTTTTAGTCTTTGTATTAAATGCACCATCTGTGCTGCTTACTACTGATGGCAATATAATTTGACAATCCGAGATTGCTCTGTTATTGGAAGCACAAAATGCTGCTTGTAGAAACTGCTGGTGGAAGAGGTTCTCATCAAATTGTCTCTGGTTTATGGAAGAAATTGACCTTCCACATAATGTGTATGATGCAATCACTTATTCCCACACTTGTAGGGGTCAAAATATAAATATTAACATGGCGATATTGCAAATTGTAGGTGACACACCTACTCTTTCTTTGAATTCTTACAGACAACTGATTAAGAATACAAATGTAAATGGTGAAAAGATAAACTGGCTCAAAATAAAATGGCTGAAGTATCAGATCTTTCAGTATGCCAAACCACGGGAGGATCCAGAAACAAAGTTTGGGAGAGGAAACTCAAAATGTTTTAGTCAAGTGTGTCATATTACAGATTTTGTAAAATGTCACAGGCTACACTCAGTTCATGCTGTGATATAATTTTATTTGTTTTAATGACTATCCGAAAATACTTTAGATTGAAAGTTTCGTGACAAGTTAAAGTTAGTAGTTACTGAAAAATTTTAGGGGGAGGGAATTTCCCTCATTTTCCTCCCCGTAGATCCGCGCCTGGCAAAACATCTCAGTTATAACTCCTCATTGCTTATAAATCTGTTGAAAATGGAAGATCTCTTGAGTCTATTGCCACTGATTTCTGAGAAGTGACATCAGTTCTATAAGGACTTCAGGGACATCAGTCATGAATCAGGGAATGATGTTTATGACAATGAAGAGAGCAGTGAAGGAGAGGAACCCTAAATTGTCAAAATGCTAAATGCTTGGAGAAGAGCAGAGCGTGAAGCTTAGGGCAGTAAGGCAGAACTTGATATGTCAGATTTTTGTTTTTACAGCTCATTTGTAAGGTTTTTCGATACAATTTGTAATGCATGTAAAAGTATGATGATTTTATAGTATATGATATGGTATTTTATAGTATAGGATATGATATTTTACAGTATATGATGATACATGCATTTGTAATGTATGTAAAAGTGATAAATTTTTAATACATTCAGCAAAAAATATTCTCTTTCTAATCTATTTATGATTTATTCTGAAAGAGTGTACTTTAAAATCACTCTCCTATAAAATTCAGAATATGTACATAAAGACTTTTGCCATAACACTACAGAGTGATTTGCCAATTTTTAAAAACTAGTTGTTATTAATCTCATCTAAATTATTCAAACGTTTATTAATACAGTATTCAGTGTTGTTACATTTTTATTATTACATATACTTATATATATAAGTTCACAATACTTAATTTCAACTAAATATATTAATTGTAGAAAAATGTAACATCTAACATAAAAATGGGTAACTAAACTAACTAAAATGTAACATCTAACATAAAAACATAAAAATCATCTTATGGCAATTTCCACATTTACTGATATATTATTTAATTTGATGTCATAATACTGGAATAATTTATTTCCAAAATAATCTAAATGTTTATATTCAGGTTATTAAAACAAGTCCATTGATGCATCTCACGTGTCTACATTATTTATTGTATATTTTTAACTTGAATTTTTACATTTTTTGATCAAGATTTTGTTTCTACATTTAAAGTGAATGTGACTACATACTACAGGTTTTGGTATTATTTACCCTAAAAATTGATTTAATACCTCTTCAAATTCTGGTATTTGATAGTACACTACCTCCATTTTACGCCTAGCAATTTCAATATCATGCTTGAGTGAATTTCCAGATATTCCCAAATCATTCTGATGAGTCTTGTAAAATTCTTCAATCTGAAATAAAAATTAATTAAAGGGCAACTGGAAACATTTTTACATATGTTTTACTATTTATAAAGATTTTAACCCAAAAATTTGTAGTTGTGGTAACTAGCAATAATAAATTCAGTAAAATAATATTCTTACTCTTTCAACTCCATCAGGAGTTTTGCATTTTGTGGCTGCCTGTTCCAAAATATACTGCCACATATTTGGCTCACTTGCATACCTGTAATAATTCATTCATTCACAATTTGTAAAAAAACATACAAAAGCTGAGGAGTAGCACACTTAAAATCCCAAAGAAATGTTAGTATGTTTGACAAACAAGTAGAAAAATAAATAAGGAATACAAATAGTTTTGCAAGTACTTGGATTATTCTATACATTGAAAATAACTTATTAAAAATTATTGGGACATATAGTCCAGATTGTCAAATTCAATGAGTTAAGATGTTTCAATGACAAACATTGAAGAGCTTTTGAATAAACTAGAAAAATATATTAGTCACTGAATGATTTTAAAAGACTTCGTATTTTTGTTAGTAAAATTAGAGAGAAAATGAATGATTAATTATTTAAATAATTTTTTATTAATATATTAATTCCTTTACCTCAGTGATCAATTACAAATAATAATTGTAATAAAGGTAGTACAAATTAAAGAAAAGAACTATAGTGCAGTTACTCTAAAGCTCTCTGGGTTTGTAGGACCACTAATAAATATTGTTCATGGATCAACTCATTATTCACCCATATTGCTTTCAATAGATTTCAACAAAATTCAGGAGATGCCGTGAATGAAAATAAGTGGGAATTTTATAACAGCTTAGTTTGTTGGCATGACTACAAACTGACTGAACTGGCAGAAATGAATGAGTGGAAATCTTTAAATGATATCTGCTCAAAGAATAAAAATGCTCTTGAAGAAATGATAATTTACAATCTATTTATTTAAAAAATAATTTGAAATGAAAAGAATAAGACTGGTTGTAACACCACTGAGCCAGAGTGTACTATGCATAAGTGTACTATACTGTAACATAAAAATTGAACAATGTGGCAAGACATATTTTATGGTACCTCTCTTTGATTGCTTCCCATTCAGATGTTAGGAATTCAAGGAAAGTTCTGCAGCTGGACACTGCTGGTAGTACATTCATAATTTCTGCTTTTGAAAATACACGATTGGGATCAGTCAAGAGAACTGACAGCAACCTAGAAAGACATATTATTTCAAAAAATGTTATTTCAATGAAAGTACTACACTTGAATGTATCATTTCTTTCTTATATTTTAGATGAATGGAAATTATTGACAGAAAAGTACTTTTAACAATCCAACTGGGAATTTGTAAGGTTTGTAAACACTGTATACACATATACATCTGAAACTGCAGAATTTTGAAACCTTTATAGTAATGTACAAATATATCAACTAATTTATAAAATACAAAACATTATTTGACAATATATTTATGAAAGATTAAGAACATAGATAATAATTAGATGAAGCATCTGAACTATTTCACTTATGATCATTTTCTTGATCTGCTTGTTTAGTCACTCACTTCCTCTGTACTGTCACCACCATACTTTTATGTATGTAACTTTAAAAACTGACAATGTTATCAATGGTGCCTTATGGTTTATCTTTTAAATAATACAAAAAATGCATCTTCTTTATAACATATATTTTTTACAGAACTTTTTTTTCTAGATAACTGCATATTAAGTAATTAATTCTAATCAAATCATGCAGAAAAATGAAAATCAACTTGACTTTTCTAAATAGAGAAAAAATTCGATTATTTTAGATTTGTTTCTAAGATTTCTTACGAAAAACAACATTAGTAAAATTTGTACAGTCATTAATGTGACCATTCACTCAAAATCATAAATAATCCCTTTTTGCAACACTGATCGCTGCGAGACGTGCAGGAAGAGTCAATTAAGTTTTGGATGGTGCCGACAGGAAGTGGAGCCATGGCGACTCTAGTGCTGTGGCCAGCTGCGCTAGGTTCCTCGGGTTGTGGATCCACGGCGGGAACAGCCAGCAATCCAGATGGTTCAACTGATTTTCTATAAAATCAGTTGGTGGTTTGGTGGTCAGGGAGTACTGTAAAGTCCCAGTGCTCTTCGAACCACGCACGTGCAGCGCGAAGTGTATGACACGTTGCATTGTTCTGTTTGTAGATGCCGTCATGCTGAGTAAAACCGATCTGCATATAGGGAGATGGCCTGCAATGATGGCTGCGTACTACTGTTGATCCATTGTACCTTCCAGGATGACGATATCTTCCAAGGAATTCAATTGAACCTTATTTTAAGTGACGAGACTCGAGCCATCAGGCCCGCTCTTCCGTTTGACCACGCAAATTACGCTACGCTCTTTTCACCAACTAGCGGAGAAAGGGCGATTTGAATTTAGCTCAGAGGCTTCATTTAGGCTTGAAGATATTTTGCATGAAAGTCAATATCCTAATATGGGACAGCCGGCTTTACTTCCCCTCCGAAGGAAGGCGTACGGAGGATTTTTTCGCCCTTAAAAATCCACGGCTTCGATCGGGTTTGAACCCGTCAACTTGGGAACAACCCGTTCGACGATTGTTGCAGGGTGTTTGCGTTCAGACGATTCACGCCGTATATGCCAACCAGGCCCTTCGGATAATGTGGGTATGGTGGGTAGCTATAAGAAACATTCCGAGTGGGTAAAATACCCACTCGGGATTTGGGGTGAGAGAAATGTTCCATAAACGTTAATTTCCAGACACGGCCGAAGTTTCTCGGTATTGCGTCGACGTAAAACTTCAACTGTGTTGCAAGATTGGCTCAACAGAAACGCCATTTTACATGCTTATAGCGACATGAACAAAATCGATTTGCAATGACAGTTAAATGAGTTTACATAAAAATTGCAAAATTGATGATAATTTAATGACAAACATGACAATTTGAAAAATTCTGTTTTGTATTTTTTCTCTTCATGTACATTTTCGTTGGGAAGTGAAGGGAGGGGGCCAACTACCCATTCGGACTTACCACCACTCGCCGCCCCTGTCGACGACAATCTGCCCGATGGAGCAGTAAACATGATTCAACTGAGAAGGCCACCTGTCGCTACTTAGTGGACGTCCTGTAGCGGTCTTGGCCTTATGCAGCCTTCGTCACCGATGATTAGCAGTCACCATGAACCAGGCGCCTGCTGCGGAGGCCAATGCGCAACAACGTTCGGTGAACGGTTAAGGAGGCGCTGTTGGTAGCCCCGTTGTTCATCTGGGCTGTCGTAACTTTTCTTGAACGATGGATTGAAGAAATGCGAGTAGAGTGGGGGTATTAGTTACGAAATCGGCCACTAGCTTTTATGAAGCAATGCCAATCTCTGGGGAATCAGTCACGCCTTCGTAACGTTCTCAATAATTGCGTTTTAACTTTATCAGGATTTCGAGGTACCTCGTGTGATAGATCCGTACCTGCTTCGGTCATTTCTTTAGATTATTGGAGAAAATAACCGATAAAAGTTCTCGTCTTCAAATGAAGTTGTTTTTATTTCGCGCCAGTGAAGATGTGTTTGGAATGTTGTCATCAGTGCTCGCTGCGAGCTTTTGCCTTCATCTGTTTATTGTGCCAGAGAGGGGGAAGCAAGGTCATCGTTCAAGTTGCGCGAGTAATACAACTGTACGTCTATTCGCCCGTAGACATCTCCGCAGCTGACGTTCTTCCCTGACATTTATTGTCCATGGTGCGCCGAAGTTGCCTTGGCACCGGTTTTGGATATCGCCATTTTGCTATGCACAGTATACTTTAATCATGGCGGCATGCGAACACTGCAAACTTGGCCGTTTCAGAAATGCTTCCGCCCATGGCCTGAAAGCCAATGAATGCTCTTTTGCACGTCCGATAAATCGCTGTTTCTGCTTTGCGACAACTGCACTGTTTTCCACTTCAACCCAACACGCTATCTGTATCTTCCACTGTTAATGTTGCCTCCTGCCGTCTGGGAGGAGTTATTGCACGTTTACACATTGCGGCGGTGGTCACGTTAATGCGACTGAACTGTTAAATATCTATTAAATAAAGTAGTAATAGTAAAACTAATGTAAGTGTACATGAAAGCCTGGACTTACTGTACCTTTCTGTTTTTTCTTGATGTGGACTTCCAGCTAACTGTGAAAGAAGGAATGATCGAACTTTCGGCAATTTTCTCTCTTCTAATAAATGGAGAACATGCTCTAATCCTCGTTCCCAGTCTTCTTCAATCCACCGTAAAACTCCACCTACTACCCTAAATATGTTTGAAGAAACTCATTAAAATATAGTAAAGCTTATAATTGAATCCAAACTTTTTTCGCTGAATAATTGTTATCATACCCATGATTGATCTCTTGATGGGCTTTTAGCCATTGGTCAAATTCCAATCTAGCATCAACCATTGCTGGTTCATACCCTGCCTTACACAGCACATAATAGGCAAGAGCTTGTATTTCCTTTGCATTTCGACTTATATTTTGTTTAGCTTTCTCATATATTGGAATTAATAGATCTCCAATGAATCGCTTTGAAACAGAAGACGATATGAAAAATAGTGAAACATTCATTCCTCTTGTTCCGTAATTTTAAAAAATGTCAAACAATTCATGAACATGAGATATCGTTTTAACAAAAATGATCATTTAATTACATTTTAAAAAGAACATTTTTCTTTTTCAAGCTTTTGTTATATTTACTTCTCAATGGTTCTGTTACACATTTGCATTTAGATAATGGACAAGAATAACTATTTATATACCACTAGTATCAAACTACTATTACTCATATAAACTAGTAAAGTGGTACTACTAATAGTGTAGTTATTGGTATAATCTACATGATTTTTGAAAAGAAATGTCTTTATAGAATGTAACATTATTCTCAAATTCATATCCATAAACACTGGGATGTGTTGATTTTAGGTTATATACTTACATCATATTTTATTTCTACACCAGTACCAATTAATTTCCATGCAACCATAAAATATACTTCTGCAAAAGTTTTCCATACAGATGGATCATTCTCATATTTCAGAAACAAAGTCATATTTAAAGCCAATTTAAAATCAAGATGTCCGGATACAGCCAGATACCAAGCATTTCTTAGAAGATTTGCTCTTGTTTTAGCAGGTATTGCAAAATGTTGGATTTCTCCATCATGAAGTAAACTTTCACTCAGAGCTTTCCAGTTTGATTCATCATAGCTCACAATATACATGCCTAACGTAGAAAAGAAAACGGTATGTTGCATTTAAAAAAGACAGTGATACCAAATCCAGAAATCCAACAGAACAAATGGAATAATCAAAAAATATTGAAATGGGATATGACTCATGAGCACATGCGTATTTTATGTGTATTTTACATTATCAAAACCAACCGCATATCTGAATCAGAAGTTTGGACAAAGTACGGATCGACAAAGACTGAAGATCATGCATATGAAAATTCTATATCTTGCAGGAATCACAATAAGGGATCAGAACAAGTAAAGATATTGAGGAAAATCTAAAGACAAGGAATGTAGTACAAGAATCAGAAGAAATGACTTTCTTACATTGAATTACGTAATGAAACAAGAAAGATTCCCAAACACATCGTTGAACCCAACTAGTTTTAACTCGTCAAAAACAACAGCTAAATCAAACTGCCCTTTAATATTTTTTTTTCATTTAAAACTTTCCTTTTTATCAATAATAGGACTGAGTGCTACGCTACGAACTATGAAGGAATCGAATTCAGTTTCTCTGCTATTTGTTGCAATTGTTAAGACACACTGTATTCTGGGAAATCAAAAATTAGATCCTCTGTGTTCACAGAAATCGCCCAAACGAACATCTTCGAATCCTCTTCTACAGTAGCAGGGTGCTCGATCTCAGAGTTGATTTCCATTGTCGGTCGTTCCTCCTTTATTTGTTTTCACAAAATAACTACTTTGACGTACGTTCTTCATAATAAATATGTATTTTTGTTTTATTTCACTAATTGGAAGTGTATTCAGTGGAATCTGACAGTGCCTTTTCAAGTGAGTTGCTGTAACTATTCCCCAACGTTGTACATCCCTAGGCGCGACAAATAATATTTAATCCTTCTACTTATGCAAAGCTCTCGAGCTCCGAAGCGTGCGATTGCCAGGACTTGCGCGCTGCGTCGACTTCCTGCATAAATGTGCAAGAAAGATTGCCGTCCCTTTTAACCTCGGTCATTCCTCAAACTCCGGAACCGAATTGTGCGCCGCGAAAACTACCAAATTATACCGCCAGATATCGTTCCAATTTACAACGGCTCGGCCTTTTTTTAAAATTTGTTATTGCTTAGGGGGACGTTCTATACGAGATATCATTTTGGGGAACATATTCTTAAACTAAAAGTAATAATATGCAAAAAGTTTCTATCTTGCTTCAGTTGCTCAAACTTTACGACACAATCACGAGACACGAAAAGCTAACGGAGTTTTCCACAACCAGGTTTCTCCTACCAACGAACATCGCCACAGCCGGGACTAGCTCTAAGCTCCCGATCGGTCTCCCGGCATGTGTGGTAGTACAGTGCATGTTAGAGTAAGTGAGTGTAAATAAGGAGTGAGAAAAGGACAAGGAAGTGGAAAGAAAGATCGTGCGCGGTCCGTGGCCCGTTTGTTAGGGTACTGCTCCAGCACCCGGAGAAGCCACGGAAAACTACCAATCAGAGTAGCCGGCCGCTAGAAGTCTCCTTCAGACAGTGACTGAATTTGATCTATCGGACAAGCTAGTGTCGAAAACCCCGCCTCTGTCGGTACTAGAACTAGGACCTCTCGATCCGAGGCACTGCAGTCACACCAGTTGATGCCCTGAGCCACCTCTATAACATTGTGAAGTCACTTGACTGATGCGATCCTGACCGTGTACTATTCTTTTCTTTTCTTTCTTCTTTTTCAAGTTTTAGGGAAGAAAACCGGCATAAAGAATCTACTTTGTTCATCTCTCAGAGTGCAGAATCATAACGTGCTCTTCGGAAACGGCACCCGCAAAGCGCGCTATCGCCGATAAGGGCCCGCTGGAGCGGGTCCGAAGTCTGCTAGAAGTAGCCGCGTAAAGAACACGGATGAGCACTGACTTTGGCATCAGAGCTAAGTTACCTCTTTAGGGGCTGCAAAGACCCGGGCCCTACGAGAGATGCTACACCGAAAAAAAATAATAAAATAAAAACAACGAAACTTGTTACAGTATCATGGATCTGGTATACTCCAACGGTTCTTTTTGGAAACTTGTTACAGTATCATGGATCTGGCATATTCCAACGGTTCTTTTTTTCGGTGTATTTTCGGTTTCGTTTTTTTCGGTACTTTTGAGTCCGACAAGTAAATCACGGATATTAGCCCCTCATTTCTCGACGATTAGGCACGATTTCTTAGAAATCCGGGATTAGCACGTACTACGTTGTGCAGGCGCATTGCCAGTGGCCTAACTATACCGCTAGTCTTGCAGGTGCAATTACCTGGGGCTCTTTTTCTTTTTACTAAACACACTTTCAAGGTCCCTTCAGAAAGCGATTTGGTTATTCGACCATAAATCGACTAGTGTAAAGTTTGAATTGCTTATTTTATTATGAGAACGCGATGATTTCCAAATTTGTAATTTGATATCCCGGAGCCCCTATTATTTATTGATTCACTTAAATTTTTGAAGATTCCCAGAACTGACGTGTCTGTGTCCTACTGGGTGGTTCAGCAGAAATGATTCTCTTTTGGCGATTTGGATGAGATACGCTGTTTTCCAAGCTTTATCGAAAATAGTTTTATCAAGCAAAAGTGTGTCTGAGCGAGCTGACGCGTGCAACTTAAAAAAATAAATAAAGACGTTGAAGTTTGTATTTCAAGTTGTATTGCATTCAAAACATTTCATCGCGACTAATGCTGTGTCTCAAAATCTGCAAAAATCTGATTTTGATATTTGTCATGCACGGAATTTGATTGAAGCTGCTCGCAAGGATCTAAGAGGTGACGTTGACGAAGCGAAATCTGATGCAACGGAGTTGGCTACATCCTGGGGCGTAAAAGACGAGTTTTTGCAAAAATCATTTTAAAAAACATTTTAATAAAAAACACGAAACTTCATTTTGATAAACTGTGCGAAGATCAATATTTATCTGACGGCGAAAAAGTTAATGTTAATTTCACTTGTTTCGATATTGTGATTAGTCATGGGGAAAGTAAGTCAGCTGAACCATCAATTTATTGGCTTGAATCAAATAATCGACTCATTTGTGATCATTCAGCCTCAAACTTTGTTGCAGCTTTCACACGAACAACTTGCAAATCGACGTAAAAAATTCTGTGAGAAATTCTATGATGACGTTCACCCAGCTATTACGCTCGCGTAGTTTTCTGAGACATTGAATATCGAAGACTCGTTGAGTTGACTAACTAGGCCCTGATCAATACTTCCCTCTTTCAGCTAGCTTTTCAGGTGACTGCTCAGAAAACTTGTTGTTTCTAACGATTTGGTTGCGACTGCAGAGCAATCTTTTTCAAAATTGAAAACTATTAAAAATTATCTACGAAATTCGATGGGACAGGAGAAACAAGCGGACCTTACCTATTCGGTCATAGAAGTAAAGTAACGAACTCGTTAAAAGCGAAACTGGGCCACGTTGCAGATAAGTTCGTCAAGCGAAAGTCGATTCAAAATTTCTGATTGATTATGATTAATAAAGTATCTTTCCATTAGTTATCAGCACGCTTTTTTTAGTTGAACAAATGTTTTTGAGGTGAGAAGGGCAATTTAGTTTTTTAACCAGAGCTCAAGAAAGACTTGTTACACCACTGGGCATTGCCCTTCTTTACAAATAAAATTCACAAAAATATACATAATTACAACTCAAAACGTACTGAAAAGCTGTTTAAACACTTATTTTATATTAATGTTGGTGGCGACTAAAAGAATCTACACAAAACAAAAAATCATCGTAAGTCCATGTAGAGGAAAACCTCGAACGAAGAAAGATCAAATCGACACGTATACCGCATTTTAACCATCAGCTCGCCTCTGTAAGCATCTGACTCTTGCCACCCAAAGCGATAGTATTGCCCTCACTAGCCCTGAAAGTCACGTGCTCCGGATATCTCTCTAGTCTGTAGGGTGAAGAGACGTGGGGAGTTCACAAACGAAAAAATGAGATCAGAAGCACTTGGAGGTATTAAAAGCCACCAGGTCTAACTGGGAAACATGAACGGTGGCACACAGGAACGGGCAACCTGCAGTAGATGATGATGCAGAAAAAAATAACCAATTACAATGTTTAATTTGAATATCATTATTACCAATGTTGTTGTAGTTTCCAATGAAGTAATCACCAAAAGCATCCACATCCTCCTCTATTACATTTTGTTTCTCTTTCAACCAATAAAGGGATCCTGGTTTACCATCCATCAGATTATTTTGCGTTGTGAATGGAATTGGAATTTGCCACATTATATTTTTATGTCCTCTTATTGTGTATGGCCAATGTCTCACAAATACTTCCTATAAATAGAACATTTAAGACAAAACAATATGAATCATCAGTAACATATTACATATTATAAATTTGTGTGTGTGTGTGTGTGCTGTGTTTGTGTGTTGTGTGTGCTGTATATATATATATATATATATATATATATCTATATATATATATTACTGTATATGTTAGTTATATATTGAAATTATGATTATGTTAATAAAAACAATTTTTCATCAAGATTAATAGTTTTTTTTCCACCCAATTTTCATTTTCAAACTTGTGGTGGAGAATGATGCAACAGAAAAATTAAATCATAGTAATGAATCAAAAAGTTTAGATATACCTTATAAAATATCAAAACATAACTAAGTACAATGTAAAATTTAGTGTGGACCATTTCCATTAATCTATATACTCTTGTAGTCATCAGAGGCCATCCATAAATTACATAACACAAATTGGGAATATTTCACCCTTTGTATTTGAGCCCCCTAAATAAGACCATAATACTAGCAACAAGTGCAACCCCCCTCCCATTTACAATAAGTAAACAGAAATTACAAAGCAGTTACAACTTGAATTAATTGTATTTTTGTTATATATTAAAATGTATAATAGTTAAAATCAGAATTATTGGTGATGCGGACTGGACCTAACAAAAAGATTGGGGACAATTTTTGAACGTAGGAAAGACACATAGACGAGAAAATTTCTGACAATTCTTTGCACTCATCATCATGGATGACACGTGTAGCCAAGTCAACAACATCAATTTAATTGAATTCTAGAATACTCTATCGATCAGTTTTGAATATTTTCTCTTCATAATCCAACAGATTATGTCAGTGAAAATACCATTAATATAAAATATTTCCCTTCATTGTAACAATTTATACATCATACCTTTTGTACTCATTTACATTTTTATATTTAATTTGTTAGTATTTTAATGTTTTAAGATAAGATGAGATAAAATGAATTATTTCCAGCAAATATTAAAAATTAATATCAGTATTATGTAACACTAAACTATGACCTTCCATATCCCTAGGTAACCTGGTGTAATACTAGTGTCATTCTCCCCTCTTTCGTGTCACATATAATTTATGGATTACCCCTTAAATCAATCATTAAAAATGAATATCATTTTCTCAACTGAATCTGGTAGTCAGGATAATATAAAAAAAAATTAAATTGATTGACAATTTTTTTCTTTACATTTCTTTATAACTTTTGCTTTTGAAAACATATGGATTGTACTTTTCACACTCAAGGATAACGTTTCAGTTACATTACTTTTGTCAGTACAACTACATACCTGTTCAATTCTAAGAGTTTTGTTTTCAATGTCTGTACTAATTGTCACAAGAGGTAACACATCTTGTGATAACCATACCACAGATATATCTTTTGTTGATATTGTACGATCTAGAGTCCCATCTGACCAGGCTTGAATATCTAATGCATCCCATAAATCCTCTTCAACAAATGTGCTGTAAGATCTGTATTTCAAAAATACCTGTATGCCTCTTTGAAAAGATTGTTCACTCAAAGAAAAGTTCAGCATGCGTAAAAATAAAACCACTGAAAAATAAATTCAAACATTCAGTAGGTGCCTTTCCCTAAAATAACAGTTCAGAATTATCTTTTTGAGTACGTTTCAAAATAATTCAATTAGTGCTCAGTTTTATGTATCTGACAAGTATCTAACAACATATATTAATGAACAACATCAAAAAAATATATTTTCTTTCTTAAATGTTTAAAAGCAGACTAGAAAAGAAGAAAAATATGCAGAGTTGGAGATTACAATATTGAGTATGAGAATATGACTTCAATGAAAAAGAGGAAACTGTAGTTTGAAAATTGGACACCTTTCTAACTTGGACAAATTTTATGGGCAGATATCCTATAGACAGGTTTTACTGTAAACACATATATTTTTAAAAGAAAGAAAGAATGTCAGCCTCTTGTTAAATTGCTCCAAATCATCAATGACGTATAAAGGCAAATCTACATGCAAACTGAAGAAGTCTACAACACACATGATGCAGGTGCGAGGAAAATGAGGGTAATTTCCTCTCCTCCCAAAATGTTTTAGTAACTATTAATTTTAACTTGCCAAGAAACTTTAAAGCAAAAATATTTCTGGATAATCATTAAAACAAATAAAATCAAGCATTATGAGTTGAGTGTAGTCTGCAACATTTTACAAAATATGTATATGACACATTCAACTAAAACATTTTTAATTTCCCCTCCCAAAATTTGTCTCTGGATCCGCCCCTGCATGAAACTGAACAGATAAAAACATACATGACCATCAAAAGAAACCATTCATGGAAAGAGAGGAAATAATTTTGGTGAAAGCATTATACTACCTAGTTTACTCACTCTTTTGATCTCTAAATTCCTGAGCAGTCATTCTATCCTTTACATCCAATAATGAAACAAAATCAGCTTGAGATGCAAACATGTGATTTCTTCCAGCCTACATAATAAAGAATCACATAATATGAACAAATATAATTCTGGTAAAGAAAAACAATGTATTCCAGTAATAAAAATTTTACAAAATAATAATCACCTCACAGCTCTCTTGCAAATCAAGGGAACAAAAATATGAATAATAGTGAGCTAAACTTGTAGTCACATACTCTTCATTAATGTTTTCAGCAGTCACAAAATGTCCAAACCACTGCTTCAGTAAATAAACCAACATGCCTACAGGAGTTACCTCAGTTCTGAAATAGTAGAAATTGAGTTTTGCTAAAGGAAAGAAATGCAAAGTACAGAAAACAAATAGAACATTTAAATATATGAAAATCATAAAGAATTGAATTACATAAATTAATAGTTGTATAATTTGACTTAAGTAAATTTGTCAAAAAGGGTAATGCTAATAATGTAATAAATTTAAGTAATTGAGTTCTTAATGATTTGAAAAATTGTCCCTTTAACAATATTACCCAGCAAGAATCATGCCCCAGAAATCCACTGCAGTATGAGTCATATTTGGCAAGAATATAACATTAAGTTGCGGAGCAGGAAATGATACGCCAAGGCGTTGTTCTAAGAAAGGTACAGCAGCTGTCATATATTCAATAGTGTCTTGTACAACAGGTGTACTAAATCCTCGTATAAATCCTTGTATTATTATTCCACCTATAGCAATGATAAAAGAAATCAATATCACAAAGTTGTATGATGTATTTATCATGGCTAAATACATTCTATAATTCATAACTTCTTTAACATTCTCTTTTATCATGCACACATTCCTTTCAATTCTTTTTTTTTAAATATTTCCCTCTACTTTACATAATTATTAACAATGGAGTCTTCAAATTTTGAAGTTTCATATTCATGTTCCAAACATGTGATAACATCTCAAAACATTTGAAATCTTTTGAAACATCTCATTTGTTCTCGTGAATGAAGAAAGTCAAATATTGAATGTTTTCTGAAGAGAATTCATTTGCTCTCAAAGAAAACTCAAGAGATAGTTGCAAAACTTCCCCAAAATGCAATTTCTCACACCACTATTACATATTTTATCATATATTGTTTGCTACTTACCATCTGTTGTTGCAGAAACTTGATCAAAATGAAACGAGTTTAAGATGAAAATGGATAAAGAGCTAGGATCCATTGGTGGAGTAACTTTAAAATGACTTCGCACCCAGCCTGGCATTTCGGACCTACATCAATAGCAATTTTTGACACATAAAAAAACAATTGAGAAGTCAATAAAAAGTCCATTTACAACCATAATACTCTTACATTTGTTCGAGTATTAGAAGAGGACTGGAGGATATCGCTGCCATGCCTGCTGGATGTATGACTTTAATTTTAAAAGTTGCTTTATATTTTGAAGTATGAAAACAGGGAAATATTTTGATAACATTGCCATGTTTCAGATTGGTGCCTAAAAACCAACTTAAAAGAAAGTAAAAACAAACATTAAGTTGATTTCAAATATAAAATTAACATAAAAAATAATACATTACAAGTTTACAATGAAAAACATAATACCTTCTTTTCTCCGGATCATCAGGAGAGTATCGATGGAAAATAATACCTTCATTCTCTTTTATTATTGGAGAATGGTATTTAATATCTATTTGATACTGGGCACTTTTTACCAGAGAGTCTTGCAAAAATATTTCACAATTTGACAATATCTCTGTCCAAACTATTTTTGAAATTTCCAAATGTTCTTGTGCACGGCTAGGAAAAAAAAAAATCAAAACAGTTTCTTTCTGAAATATTTGAACTCGAATTTCCCTTTTGCTTATCTAAAATATTTGAAGCCATATAAAAAATATTTTGTACTTTATTTAATCAAAGATACCATTTTATTTCTATTATTATTATTATTTTCTCTTTGGTCTGTTTTCTAATTAATGGTGCGATGTCCAAGTTGCCACAACGTCATATTTTGCAAAAGAAAGATTAACTGCAGGAAAGTGAACATTTCTTTTTATCAAATTTCTCCAAAGAAGTTCCTTGCTTCTTGTATTCATAATTCAATTATATACCTTCAATTTTATAATTCATTAAAATTTAACAACAGGTGAGGAATTCCAGGGATTGGGGAAACATCCATACTTTGTACAACACCCTCATTAGTCACATACTTTTTAAAACTTTTTTTTTTGTTAAAAAAATAAATAAACTTGTCTATTTCTACTGTGATTTTATTGGTAATCATGTGGAGGACATTCTATCTAATAAAGTAAATAATGGAAGCAAATAAATAAATGTAAATAAAAGTTTGAACTAATACAATAATAAAATTAATAAAAAACAAATGTATTTGTGATATTTATTACAATATTATGTATGGAAATGAATCACGCAACTGAAAAAAGTTAACAAAAGTTGATGATTATAATTAGAACTCAAAATATCTAAAATAATTTTTACAATTTTACTTATTACTTTTTTTTTTTCTATTTTAGTGTACTTACCGCTCATGTTCATTATGAAATGGATCACGGTCACTAACATTAACAGAGCTTAATCGTTTTATAGTTAATTCATCCAATTTCATATTGCTATCTGCATGTAAAACAATACTATTAGTTGGATGTAAGCAAGTAATATTAATCTGCAGAATGCCATGAAATGTGGCTTCTTCTACTTTAGGCATAAATGTCAAATGATAACTGTAGGGTGCTATATATTCAAGTGCATTTTTTCTTGTTTTGCTTTCATTTTCTGTATCAGGCATTTGTGGAATGCTTCTTTTATATCTATCTGTTTCAGTTTGAGTAACTTCAGCCAAATCCACTCCCTGAGAAAAAAATACTAATTTATTTTCAGGTTAAAAATGTATCATGAAACGAAATTGCAATCCTCTGAATAAGCTATAATTCCCTTAACAATTTTTCAAGTCTAAAATTTGTTTGCGGATTGTTGATCTTAGTAGGTAATGATGCTATTAGAAATCTTGATTTTTATTAAACTTACTTCCATGTGCAGAAGATTAGACATGTGCATTCCTAACCATGCACGTAACCACAATTTTTCTCCCAGTGGCATCATTAATATTTCTAATGGGCCCAGATCTTTATTATAATATTTTGAAATGCATCCTGCAGATGCCCCACTTCTTTGAATCTGTAAGTTACACAATCATAAAAAAGAAAAAAAATACAAAGAAGTCAAAATTTCGTAGATATAATAATAATAATAATAATAATAATAATAATAATAATAATAATAATAATAATAATAATAGAAACTTATGTGAATTAAGATAATTATGATTGAAATAATACAATTATTGCTTAAGGTATGAATTATTATTATTTATTATATTATTATTATTAATTATTATTTATTATTATTATTATTATTATTTTATTAATTATTATAGTATATATTATTACAATTTGCAATTAAAGTGTAAAAATACAATATAATTGAGAGGCATATATGTTAAGAAGAATTATAATCTTACTCTAACTCATAATCACCACATCAACTTCCCTCATCTACCTAACATTGATTGATTGTACACTTCTTTCTCTATGCAACTCAATAGAAGTTTAACACAGGAAATAAAAAAAATGCTTAAAAATAGCATTTGAATATTAAGTATTAGAATGAGCTGAAAGATATATTATCAAAAAATAATTATTTAGATATTTGTGAAATTTTGATTTTGACATTCTGTTCAACATCTATTTTCTAATGGTGTTTTCATCACTCTGTTTTATGAACCTTTAGGTTAAGTAAAAAGATCATGCATCTTTTACTGCAAAATTGCACTTATTTCATAATTATATGTATAGGTTTGTATTGTCTGTAATGAATTTTTAATTTCAAATTATAGGTCAATATTTTAAAAATTTAAACAGAGTATGTATTAACAGTACAATGCTTTTAAAAAACTTTGATAATTTTGCCTATTATTTTATATTTACAATTGTATGGTAGTTTTTTTAGAACAGGATAAATAAGATTGCTCATCATTTAGTTAACATTACTAAGGCATGTGCACATATGATTAGTAAGTAGTCAATTATGTGGATGTTTGTTGATTAATCATTGTACAATAAAACATTCTGAATTTTCATGTAAATCACTTTATTTTACAACAAAGAAATTTACAAAAGTATGATTAATTCTTCCTCGTGACAGCTTTGTTTGTGTGTACTCACCTGTTTTTGCATAGGTAGGGCAAATGCACTTATACAATAAAAAGCAAAGGCAAATATTGCAATATTCATGGCTGGAACTTTCTGGCTGGAATGAAAAATATTGATTCTAGAATATTAATTCCCAAAAAAATATAAAAATAACACTTCACTTGTAGAAGTATCAAAATCACTACATTCACTTATACATGCCCACCTGGAAATTATGTTGTAACATTATTGTCTGATTCTATTTTTAATAAAAGCACTTTTTTTTTCAAATTGTCACATTTTTTTGTTTCATGTTTCATAGTGATTTGTACCATTGTTCTGGTTGTCATTATGCTGGGTTATTGGTATAATTTGGATAGGCTTTTCAAACTCATAATACTATCATCAATTTACATTATGAAGCAATGAATAAAAATGAATAATGATACTTACGACAGACACTGAGGGAAAGCTGCTGGATGGTGAGCCAGTCATGTGTTCATTGAGACACTAGTCCACTCTTAGGCTGTCCTCTGCCAAGGGTATCTCACATCCTACTCAGTTAATTTCTCTTATCCTCAAAAATTATGAATGACACAATGAGATGAAAGAGTGTGGCTCATGTGAAAGGACAGAAAAAATTATTTTCAATGAGGTCTTAATTTCACATGTTTTAATACATTTCTTAAAATAACTTTTTTGTCTGATCCCTAAATTAGCAAGTTTACCCAAATGCAGATCAAGACAATCTATTATGCATCCACATGACTTATTGCTCATCAAAAGCAAGGTCTACGTCACATTCAGTCATTTTAGAATGGAATAAGTACTCTCTGAACCCATTTGGAGCCTCTTGAGAATGACCCTGCAAAGTCATTATACAATCTGTGCCTAAGGAGGTATCAATTTCTTTGTTCCAACAGCCTCACAACTGCCCACATTTAATTTACCTCGTAACGTAATAGCATGAAGGAAATGTGGGGAGATGAAATCTTGTCTAGGACATTCGAGAACAGAAAAAGAAAAGCACATTATGTAACTGCACTGAAACCAAACTTTTTGAGTTAGCCGTTCTGTTGAATTTCTCCTGGGTTTAAAATTCATGCAACGTGACTTCAAACCCAAAAGCTTCACTCAAATGCCTTTTTTAGATTAATTTTTGTTTACAATGAGAAAATAAATTTAGATATTTATATAATATAATATATATATATAATATATAAATATATATATATATATATATATATATATATATATATATATATATATAATTGTTTTTTTTATTTTAATGAAATATCCAATTTTTCCATTGTATTTTCTAGAACAAATTATGTGTTCATTTTGTTTTAAGCATTTCATTTCATTGCATCACCAGTTTGCTTCTTTAATAATAAAAAAATCAGTTTTCTGGCACGCGATTCTTATGAACAATTGGTAAGTTAGAAAGTAAAAGGCAGGTCTTGCAGACTGGTGGGCAAAACTGGGGCATGTTTTGATTTGGTTTACTTCATGTTATGATTTCTTAGAGGTTAAAATTAGTTTGGTGTGTTTTTAAAGGGAAAAAAACAAAAACAAAATATGATCACAAATTTTATTTATACATTATGAATTAAATGTACAGACTTTAATAGGCAAATTTTTCATTGGCCTATCCACTCACATTCTCATAGATTTATATAATTTGCCCTTAAATATTAATCTTATAATGGGAGGGTATTTATGCATACAGTACAATAATATAAAAAGTCCCTCTGCAATGGTACATCTTTGAGGTCTCTGTTTTCCAGGAGCAGAGAAAAAATACACAACTATTTATCCATTTCAACAAATTCAAACACATGTGAGAAATTATAAATTAGAAGATAAAAGAGTAACAGCATTGCACAAAAATGAAATTTAAAAAAAAAGGAAAAAAAAGAGAAAAAAAAAAAGAAATATGGACTATGATACATGATCTTTGGTCACACTAGCTTGTTGAAACAATTCACTACAAAGTTGAACCACAGTAGGAAATATGAACTAAAACAATACAATAATCATGTTTTATAAAAATTATACACAAATATGGATGTCTACTTTAAACATGCAACAAATCATACTTCGTTGTTTGCAAAACCTTACTTATAGTCATATACTTTTATAAAATTATACAGTACATCGTAAAAAATTAAAATTTACCATGGGAGTTCTCATCATTACTTCAAAAGTTCATTTCACATACAATCAGCCCTGCTTTGAAATACTGCAATTAAATTACACCCATTTAAAATGCAATTTTTTTTCAGTATTTCTTTCTGCAGCCCATGCAATAGCAATCATAAAAGAAAACAATCATATCAATGACACAAAAAATAAATGATTATGTCACATTTGCATTTGTAACAAGTGCTACCGAAAAAAGAGCTCACCAAAGAAGGAGCCCACAAAGGACTGAATAATTAAAAATGATGTAATGATGAGATTACTTTAAAAGACTAATCTATTAATAAACAAGACATAGATTCGATATTTTACAAGATAAATCCCATTAAAATATTAAAATACAAGATTTCCATATCTCACAAGCAAGTTCATCCTTTCAACACAAATGTTCATCATGCAGAAGACAAACAAAATCCAATAAACATAAGGAATGAGGTTGTTTTAATATATGTCACACTCATTTATATTACAACTCTTTCATACAATATTTCCAACCCATCAAGAAAGCTAAATATTAAGAACAATTTTGTCCATGAAGAGAAAAAGGATGTAGCATTCAAAGATTGTTCGTGTATGATTTCCATGGTTACCAATAAAAGCACACACTCCACATGCAAACAAGTTATCTCTTATCTTACAATAAGCACTGTGGGGAGAAATATAAACTATGAATTCAACAACCAGTTTTGTAAATCAGCCCTTTTTAACAATTGGACAGAGTTAATATCAGGGGCAGTCAAAATCATACATGAACATTCTCAAATAAACTAATTAGATGATTCAAAACATGATATAGAAGATAAGATATTTATATATATGCAGTATTTACAAAATAAATGGAAAGGAAATATGTAATATTAATATCATTTATTAAGAGACACTGCTGAGATATGTCAGCATCTCTTATTATATATAACCATTTCTCATATCTTTATTAATATATATTATATATACTCTTTTTTCTTTCTTTTATATCATATATATATATTTATGTATATCACACACCTTGTGATTCTATCAAATATTCCACTTTCTCTTTAGGCTTAAGAATAAAAAAAACTCTTATTTTTGCTGGTGCACAAAGTACATGAAACCTACAAGTTTCACATCACCCTGATTAGAGTATTTAACAATCAGGTAGTTTGGCAATATAAAAACATTCTACTTATTGTCAACCCATATCTTTCTTCATATACACAGCTTACATACTGGAAATATAACATTACCATTTGGAATGATGAGTATTAAGAAGAAGAAAACTACAATATGAAACGCATTCATCGTTGATGAGTTTCATGCACAAAAGACACTTTTTATTCGTTTGTTTATTAAATCACTGTTTCTCCTCCAAACAATAAGTAACATGATTCATTATCCTTGATTTCAAAGTTCCACAGCACACATTAGAAAAAACCTGAATTCATATTCAAAACATCAGTACCAGTATGTATTTGAAAGCCTTTTTGCACTAAATGAAAGCTCGACTGCAGATGACCCCCAAACAAGTTATTAATAGACATATTAGAGGAATTACATTATACTTTTAGTATCTCATATAAATGCATTAGATGTATATTGTACATATTAATTGAATACACGTGTCAAAAGTATGTTGTAAATAAAAATAACTCCTGAGTATTGGTGTGGTTCTTAAATTGTTTCAAAGGAGGGAGATAAAGGTAATAAGACATTGGGAGCAATAGGAATTAAACATTTGGTTCTTGTTACTCATTTTGTATCCCCTTTCTTTACTGAATAAGATCGCTTATGTATCATATCTCTGAGGAGTCTATATGTAATATTGTCAAGGTTACACACCTGTGCCAAAGATATTTCACAGTTAATTACCAAGGAGTTGGGGTCTTGAGTGCCAGTTTGAAACTATGCATAGTGATGAGTATTCAGTTTTTAACTAATATGATTTTGGTTTCTGATAATTTGATTAAGCAATCACACATTCATTTGTTTTACTAGCAGATCATGTAAAAGGCAAATGAAAATACTAATTACGGATCAATTAGAAAATATGAATCCTTATTGTATTATCCAAATTATCAACAAAATTTTAATATAAATGCCGTCTCTCAGAGGAAACATTCCTAACTAAAAATAACTTGGTAAGACCTTGTTTCAAATGTAACCTTAGATTTCATGCTAATACAGATCAAATTTGAAGTTTTAATTTCCTCACTGGTGTTTCTAGATTGTGGTGTTTATCACTGCAAATGTTCTCATCATCATAAAAAAGGTTACTCTTTTGGGGAATAAAATTACATTCATTTTTGAAGAATGCAAAGGAAAAGCGCATATTTTTTCTGGAAATTGAACACAATAAATTAAAATAAGAACTCAAAAAATGTGTTTTAACATCATGATTTGCAGTTTTTATGCTAAGATTTATTCACACACATTTATTGATTAGCATCATTCTATGCAGTTTCGTTGTCTGACTAGCCAACTCATTTTCCTGTGGAAAAAATTACTCTATCTCTCCTACAGTTCAGCCAAGGTGCTGGAAGACAGTTGATTTAATATCATGGCACATAACATGTTTATCGTTAGTAGTATATATATCTATCTAACTATCTCAGTAACTGTTTTTAATTTCTAAATCAAAACTGATTTTAAAACATTGTAGTAGATTTTGATCAAAAGAAAGCACCCACCTCAATTCTATTCAGTGCAAAAAAATATAATTCTTAGAAATTACTATTTAATTTGGGCAAGATGAACTTGTTTAAGTATCATACAGGTACAATAATGTAACTATCCACCTCTATATTACATACATTGTCACCAATGTTGAAGAAAATATGGTAATATTTGCTGAGTTGCAACTATTCTATTATTAATAAATATTTATCTCTTTGTTTGGGAATAAGAAAAGACACATATTAGATTTTAAATGATTCCAGTGACAGTTAAATATTCAAATCTCTTCCTCAGTCTAGGAAGTGGAAAGAAAAAACTGAAGTGGAGATTGGATGTCAAATTTCGAATTAAAGGTGTAATTGTACATCTTCCAAAGCTGCTAAACAATCTTTTCCTTTTTCTAACATGACATAATGCCTTCTACATGCCTTGTAAGGGAAAAATGTATTTCAAAGATATCTAGATTAAGGAGCATATTTGAAATGTGAGTATTAATACTTTATAGTCTTGTAATGGGGAGTTAAACATTTAAGTTGGGAATAAAAGTATTTTATAAGTGGTGAGGCTTAAGAAATTGAGGACATTTCAGAACAATTAGAGAAGAATAAATAGGGAGCACTAGTAAATTTCTAAGTACATAGTTTTGCTTTTGAAACATTCTGGAGGCTACAATCATATGAAAAGTGGACAGTGGTGATTACCACTAATGTTTTCAACTGAACCAGGATATCTCATAATTTTAAAAATTGTGAAAATCATTCTTTTTAAAATAATGAATGAAGGTATTTAACAGAAAATTAATTATGTGATTAATTCCATTTTTGATGTTGTTTTTGCACGTCCAACACAATAAAAACCTTAAAACAAGTATTTTTTTTTTATGAGCTAAAACTGAAATTTAATTTTTTGTAACAATGATTGGCATTTCATCATCTTTTCATATACTGAAGAATATATCCTCTTAAACACTGTATTCATTGAACAATCAATTAAAAAGATATTCACTTGAGCCTATTAAAACAGAAGTCTGTCAGCTTTCAATTAGGAGAAATTTTTGAAAATTAACCATAAATTCATTCACTCATGAAATTCTTAGTTAAATGTTCTAGAATTGTAAGTGAACCAACTTGGAATAGACTTTCCTGGTTCATTGCAACATTGCAAACTTACATATACATACACATATAGAAGCTACATATATAGGGAATAAAATAGAGCAGGATGTATTAAAATAGAAATTGAAAAGAGTTACAACAGGGAAGTTTTAAAAAGAACTGCCTGAGAATTGGAGGGGCTTCATCAAATCTGTCTCTTCCTAGTACTTTCATTTGCATACTAAAACATTTTGCACAATCCCCTTACCTTCTAACCACAGGTCCAATAATTTATGAAGTGATACACAAAAATCCTTTGAATAAAACTTGAAATATTGCTGTACAAAGTATGTATTGGAATGGAACTTACAATACTCATTAAGAAATAATGCATTACATTTTAAATCTTTCATTCATAAAAATGAAAATTGCTATTAGCAATTTTTCAAGTGCAAGCAAAGTAAGAGGATGAAAATTAAATACCAATATATCAACTAATGATACATGGTATTAAAAAATTAAATTACAATTCTTACAATTATAAACAATAACACAAAAGGCTTGTTATTTCATGATCACTTTAGGACCTGTACACAAAATACAGGTAGGTACTGAAATATTTGTCCAATCAAAAATAACTAACAAAGTTCATATGTTTCCTAAATTAGCACTGAATTTTGAATATTACATAATTTCTAACAATTCTTTGTGTAGTAAATAAAAAGTAAATGTACCACACACATAGATTTCCTGATTGCAAGAATATTATAAGATGTCATACCAATTGTCCTTCCTCATGACACTACTTTCGTTTTATCTTAGGTTATCTCTCTTCTCTCATTTTATCATGTGCTGATGAGGGAACACAGTCCATTTCTCAGGCTTCTCCCAACGTGATGCTGGGATTTTAGCTACTCTCTGTATGGTTTGCAGTAGGAGTAGCGATGATTCATATGTTGGCTGTATGATCCAGAGTGTGAGAAACGCTTAAGACACTTCGAACATTGAAAAGGTTTTTCACCGCTATGGAGTCGTTTGTGTTCTGTTAGATGATGTTTATGCTTAAATGCTTTTGTGCAGACATCACATTTATGAGGTCGTTGACCTGTAAGATAAACACAATTTACATTAGAATGATATTTTCTTTTGTCTGAATAAGAGAGTATCAAAGGGGAAAGTAATTATGTAAGTGAACAAATTTAACAATTCAAAAATGGTTACTTAAGGTATAAGTATACATTCATCCAAGAAATTGCAGTAATTGGGAATGAAAAGAATTCATTCATGGATTGGGAAATTCAGTAATGGGAAATTAAAGAATTAATTCATTCTTTTCATTTAAAATTTATATCTTATATACATAAATTAAAATGTTACCTGAATGCTCATATTTGTGACGTGCCAGTGAACTTTGCTTGGAAAATGCTTTATCGCACTGATCACATGTGTATTGTCCTTCAGGTTCTCCATCTAAACTGGGCAGGGCAGGCAATACTCCCTTCCCAGAGGCTAAAGCCAGTGATAACTTGTGCCTTTTATTTGGAGGGTTTGTTTCGTCATCACCCATTATGTGGTCCATATCTTGAGATACTCCTCCGCAACCAGAATCATCGGCTTCATCAGTTGTGTCACCTCCATCAATGTAACCCTGGAAGAAAAAGAGAAAAGATGTATTGTTTTTATTCAGGAAGGGAATACTTGAAACCATAACCATATTGAAAATGCAAATGAAGCAATAAGTACAGAAAATATTTTAAATTATTTTTATCAGAATTTATCAGTTCTATACATTATTTAAACAACAATGAAATTCATTCAGAGAAATATAATTTTCATATGGGATTACAGTATACTTCTTACTCTTTGCTATATTTCTCTTTCTTACAAGCAATTTAATCTTTGCCATTCAGAAAATGCTGTGCGCGTGCCTGAATTTGCTAAATCTCCCAAAATAATTTTTCAATAGGATGTGTGTAAATTGAGTCTTAAGGAATATCACATCCACTTATGAGCACTAATGCAGGTAATTTAAACACAATTTTTAATAAGCAGTAATGAAATGAATGGATTTTATATGAAAAGATCTATGAACAGAACATCTTGAATATTGTTGAAAGTTGAAAAAGCTGAATTGCTTCAAAGTACAAAGACATTCTTCATTAACCATGTAGTTTATGGCAGCGTGCAACGAGGCGACGACGCATCATAACCACGCGTCAATTGACCGTTCGCAGAGAGGCGTTGAGCGAGTTGCGTCGCACGGTCGCGCGCGATGATGTTGTTTTGAGAAATTTCGCCCTTCGAAACGTCACGGATGTACGCAATTGCGATTACAAGACTGCAATAAGAAACTCTTCTCTCTGGTGGTGCATGCCACATGCGGCGTGGGGGGAGACACGCGTAATTACTGCGAGTTTAATTGACGAGCCGGCGCGCTGAGCCAGTTTTAAAGACGCGCCGCGCCGAGTCGCATAGTGCGGTCGCATGCGATGATTGTTTGGACTTGTTTCATGTTGTTTTGCTTGTTGTTGCTGTTGAATTTTTTTGGGCCTGATGTTTACGTGCTGTCGTTGAAATCGTGTTTGCATTGTAATAGCATTTTGTTGGAATTAGTTGATTTCCATTTCAGTCCCTCCTTCCTTTTAATTATTAATCCTCATGGTGCAAACCTCAGGATGGAATGGTGTTTTGGAAATTGAATGATTGTTTTAAAGAGTAAATTTAAAGGCTTGAAGTCCACTATTTTGATAATTTGATCTGCCTACAATTAAGTTACACCTCATTTCGTTGCAAAAATTCCAAAGAGATACATTCAGTTTTCATTCCTGAATAGCCCCTTTTTTTTCCTTCAGATTATAGAAATGGCCGTAAAAATACAATTCCGTTTCCATGCTCATGTACTGTGATCTCTGTCAAGTTAGCTTCTAGTGCATTAGTGTTTTGGGACCCTATTCTACACCATTGTCACATCAAGAGAGGGACAATCGCTTTGTTCTGGTATTCGAATGTAGATCTGATATCAAGCAAGGTTGCTTGTTGAATCCTTTTAGCTAACGTACAGTTGTACATCTATTTATTGTAATAAATTATCGATATTGAAATATACAATCCCCATGAATTTGTGGGAGATTTCTATAATTAAATGGCAAATAAAATACACTCCAAAGAAATTGCCTTAGATGAAGGTTTAATAGTTACTAGTGCATTACTATATACTACTATAATGAAATCGCTTACCTGACGTATTCTGCCGAATTTTAAAAAAAAAGTTTAACGATTGTAATCAAATAATTGAGCAAGATTATGAAACTTATAACTGGAAGAGAAGGAAAAGGCTTAATGATTAAAGCTTTAAGTTCCGAAATCTGAAGTTTAGAATAGGTTAATACTATAGGCTGCCATTATAAGAAGTTATTCATAATTTTGCAAAGCTGATCAATTGAATGGAGATATTTCGAAGATTAAGATGACAAAGTACTTTTAAAGCATGAAGTTTCAAGTTACTGGCTCGTATTCATTATATACCCGGAAAGAAATCGGATATCAGAAGTCTTCCGCGAATTTTAAAAAACCGGTTAACATGAGTAATCAAATGATCAACAGGATTATAGAATCTAATATTAGAAAAGACAAAGCAAGCTTTTAATTCCAATTCTGAGAATAGAACCCAAGTCGGATCACGGTTGAGAGTATCCTGAAGAGAATAATAACCAACATGTTCTCCGTCCTGCTGCCTGAGGCCTACGCATGACTGATATTATTACGCGTGTTCCGTGTGGGTGCGGCGTCTGAGTGTGTGATGTCCGTGCGTGTGCAAGCGTGGATGTGTTTTTGAGCAAGTGAGCAGCTCATAATACGCACGCTGGTAGCGGTTCGTGCGTGTGTTGAAAGATCTATTTTTGTGGTTGTCCTTTGATTGCGTTATGTTGGCCTGATGCCTGGCTTCTATTTGTTGTTGTTGTGTTGTTGTTGGTTTGTTGTTATTGTCCTCCCTGTGTCGATTATAGTTTTTTTGCAACGAGTCGGCTGCGCAAACAACACAGGCAGTTTTCAGTTAGCGCCGGCCACCGCCGACCTGGACGGAGAGACCAGTTCTTCATTGAGTGCATGCGAAACGAGTGCATGATTTTTCGTTTCCGAAAAACGCGGGTTTTTTATTGGAGAGGTCTCTACTCGGTTAAGCTCTCCTTCGTGTCACTCTCCTAGGAACTATGTTCTAGGAAGACTTGAAATGTGCAGAAGTGTAGAACCTTTTTTAAAAGGAAAGCGTATGTAGCTTGCACGTTCGGTTGCTGTGGCTTGCGATGGATAACATTAGTGTCGCTTGGCCGCTTTCGTGATAAGAAGTGGGCTGCATTCTGCCTTCTTGTATATAAAGCTTGTTGCCACTGTTACTTCGCGGCTCGGTAAAGGATCTTTGTGTCTGCGCGCATCTCTGTCTTTCAGATGTAACTGTATTTGCTGCATAATTTGGCTTGGTGCTTTCGTATTTGGTAAAATTTTTTTTTCTTTTCATGGTTATGAGAGAGAGGACTACTTGTTTCGGAGGCATTTGCCAAGTTCATTGACGGAACAATTTATTGTATTTATTTCATAATTTATTGCGTAGGATATCCAAATGTTCCATGTAATCGGATATGGAAATTTTTTCGGTATATGTAGTTATGTCTCGTCACTGTTAACGATACGAAGATTTGTGGCAGAATTTACGCGGCTTAATTGATAAACGAAGCAGGAATTTTAAAGATCCGGAAGACTGTGTGTCGATTTGTTTTGCTCAAATCAAACTGGAAAATAAGCCATGTGCAACCTTAGTAAATGTAAAAAAACCTAGTTAATAAGCCATGTGCATAAGCAAATTGAATTAGTAAAGAATTTGAAATTGAGTACTCAAAAAATGGATGAATATGAATTGAATTCTTGACGAATTAGTATTGATTTCAGACATCAAACTTAAAATTTAATTGAGCATCTGTGGAATCGTGAAATCTATATTTCCAGAAATAATATTTGCTTTCTTTAGGCGAAGAATGTTATAAAACTTTTCTTCGCAAAAAAGACGGGTTATGCAAAATAAATAAGTAAATAAATAAAAATAAAAAAAATTAAAAATAGAAGAAAAGTTATTTTCATTTGTCACGAGTAGTTATTACTAAAATTTTAATGGAGTAGGATTCAATTCATGAATGTAGTTGGAAGCCTGTGTAGAACGTCAGGCTTGGCAATCCCTTTGCGTGTACCTCTATCCGTGGGTGGCGCCCGCCCACCACCATTCGCCCAGCGCGCTCACCCCCGGCCCTTTCTGCCCTCAGGGAGCAATCCGCATCCACAGCGGCGAGAAGCCTTCGGAGTGCAATGCGGCAAGCGCTTCTCGCACTGGGCTCGTACTCAGCCACATGACGTCCAAAGAAGTGTCTCGTCATTGAACCTCAAGGGTGGGCGCGCCGGCACCCGGCCGGAAGCGCGGCGGCGCGGGCGGCCTCGGTGGACCAAGTGCGGCGGCGCGGCGGCGCCCTCGCGGCCCCCAAAGCGCGGCGCCAACGCCGCGTCCAGGCCCCACGGCCAACGGGTGGCGGCCCGCCGCAACCACAAAACCTCAAACAACAACAACAACAACCCGGCGTTCGCGCCCATCCTGCCCAAGTACAACGGACGCCGCGGGCCGCCGCCGCCTCCTGCAGGCGGTCGCCCCGCGCGATTGCCCGGCGGCGCTACCCGCCCGCTCCCCGCACCCGCAACCCGCCCCGCACTACCCGTTCTACATGCCGCACTCCATGCACCTCCCCAACCCGTACAAGCTGCCGCAGTCCCTCAGCAACTCCTGGAGCAGCTGGCCCCGGCGCACCTGCTCTCGCCCGCGAGGACGCTTTCCGGCTCGGCGGAGCGGAGGCGCTGCGCGACGCGGATGAGCATTGGAGGAGGACCAGCAAAGCGGCGCGGCAGCCCGTTCGCCTAGGACGAGCCCCCGTCAAGGTGGAGAAGGAGGAGAGTGAGGACGCGGCGGCCCCGCCGCCGACCGGAGGACAGAAGCGGCGGCGCCGCAGCTGCACGAGGACAGGAGATGCGCGCCACGCCCGCCTCCTCGTCAAGGAGGAGAAGCGGGACAAGGAGGACGCGGAGAGGAGGAGAGGAGAGGCAGGCGGCGGCGGCGCGCGGTTCAAGTCGGAGGCGAGGCGCGCGCCCGCCGGAGGGCGCGCGAGGCCGACGCGAGCTGGAGGCCGTGAAGCGCATCCTGCAGCGGCTGAAGCCTCCGTACACCAAGCAGCTGTTCGAGGCCAACATGAAGAAGCTGTCGTCGCCGTCCCCTGGCACGGAGAGTCGTCACCGCCTCAGCGTAGGCCAGCTATGATCTCCGCACAGCGCCGAGAGGTGAGCGCAAGTCTTCGGATGCACTGATATACTGAGTATCGGCGTACAGTGCTAAGCCCGATTGCAGTTCGATCTCCTCTCAGCTCTGTTCGTACGGTCAAGGAGCGACGTAGTCGAGTTTTCTGCCTCAAGGTGATTGCGTGTTTGTGGGCGGTACAACGAATCAGAGCTGCTCATCCACAGGCCTGTAGTCTCTCTAAGAGCGCATACCTGTAGTGGCAGGCATTAGTATCTCTCCAGCGCATGGTTAGAGCTCCGGATACTCGCAGCGTATAGCAATTTGGTCCGTGAATGGTCGCTGGCGGGACTCAAAGAGGCTTGCATGAAACAGAATAAGGACATGTGTAACGCATAATACAAGACGGTGCATAAAGATGAGACTTGTCTGTAACGTGTGTTCCAGTTAAATTCAAATAACTGATACAGCGGCAGCGACGAGAGAGGCGACGGCGAGGGCGGGCGCGGCTCGGGCAGACCGGTCACGGAGGAGGAGAGCTGAGGCGACGCCGGCGGCCGGGTGCGTGACCACAGCGCGTCGGAGGACGGGCGCAAAAAGGTGCGCGTGCGCTCGCTCTCTCGGACGAGCAGTGGTGGGTGCTCAAGAGCCACTACGCGCGTCAACCCGCGCCCCGAAGAAGGACGACTGCTGGTGCGCATCGCGGAGAAGATCGGCTTCCCGGTGGCGCGTGGGTGCAGGTTGTGATTCCAGAACACGCACGCGCGCGGCGACCGCCGCGGAGGGCCGCCTCGTGCACGTTGCCTACCTGCCATTCGTCGTGCCGTCAGGTGGCGTACATGCAGGCGGCGGCCGCCGCCCCGCCGCCGCGCGCCGCGTACTCGCCCACACCGCCGCCGCGGTCCGTCGTGCCTTCCGGCCAGCAGCCGTCGCCGATGCACTGCAGGGCCATGAAACCCTGGGCCCCTACTCGGCGGGTCCCCGTCGCCCTGGGGCCCGCGGCCGAGCCCGCTCGACCTTCCCCAAGAAGTCGCAGGGCCGTCGGGTGTGGCGTCGACCGTCCGCAGCCCCTGCGGCACGGCGTCGGCCGCCGCGCACTCCGACTCCGGGAGAGGCGCCAATGAACCTGAGCCGCAAGTCCTTCGTCGTCGCGCAGCCCCACCGCCCGCACTGCGCGGCGTGCTTGCCCTTCCAGCCCGCCGCTCTACAAGCAGCACCTCGTGCGTGCTCGTTCCGAACTACGCGGCGCTCGCCGTCGCCCGCGCCGCTCGGCGCGCCCACGTGGCGGCGGCGGCGGCGGCGGAAGGGCTGGCCAACGGGCTGGGCGGCGGGTCGCGGCTGGCGCGCATAACCTGGCGCAGAACCGCCCGTCACGCCGGCACCCACCGCCTCGTGGCCGCCGCCTGGCCAACGGCGCTGGCGTGGCCTTACAATTGCGTGCCCGTGGGAGCGCGCTCACTGTACAACCCCGAGCTGCCACCGGCTCCCTCACTCGCCGAGCCGTCTTCGGCTCGCCGCTACCAGGAGAACGGAGCGCGCGCCTGCAGCTCCAGCCCCGGGATCCGACAAGCGCTCCTGGAAAGCAGGTTACGTCATCTGTTCTGGCAAACCACGTATCGTCACCCGATTTGAAATCCGAAAGGAACTGTCGATTAAATTTGCTGTACAGCGATTTATTCAAAGCTGCGTCTGACTCTTCATTTATGACGAAACAATTCCTGATTTACATCAGAGACGACTTGAATAAAATTCAAGTAATAAGGTGTTGGTAGCCCGGGCGCTAATTTAAATTGTATGCACTTCAATTCGACGTTTTAAAAATTTTTGCCCAACTAGTTTTCTTTAGGATTGATTGCATTTGGCTTTGTCCAATAGGAAATGGGTGCACCCCTGTTTGAGAAAATCTTTGTTCTCAACTAAAGGACAACAGCCAATTTTATTGCTTGACCAATGTATATGCCAAAATTCAGATTAATTGGTGAACCCTCACTATTATTTCCTTGTGAAGTCATCTGCTGAAGTTGTGAGAGGAAATCTTACATTTATGAGTTTTTCACTGTTTCCATTTTATTCAAAGAATCCTCTGAATTTGGGGAAATTCAAATTACTTCATTAATTGAGAAAATAAACAATTATGATAAGGGAGAAGCATATTTTTGAAAGACTGTGTCTTCACATAATTAATTCCCACCAGTGGCCAGTAGGTACTGTCTGATCTCTGTGATTTCACCATGCAAGATGAGTATTAAAAATGTTACCATGTGTTTGCAAATACTTGAAAAAGATCAAGTTAATAATTTTAAATTTTTTTTGGGGGAAACAAAAAACCCTTTTTCCAGTGTGGGGGGAAATTTTATTTTGTAAAAATAATTTTTTTTTTTTTTTCGTTAAAATTGGGAATAACATTGGCGCCCCACACAGAAATGTTTTTTGCTTAACCCTCCATAAGTACAAAAGTCAAGGTAATTTGTTTAGAAGCTGAACGGGAGAATTAATAATTAATTTTTAATAATTATCTTTAATGTGTCTTTAGTTTGGCTGGTTTGTACATAAATAATTTGTGGAAGACTAAATAATGCTGTAAAAAGAATGGTACCCCAGCTTTTGATCAGTGGGCCCCTTTTTTCGGGATTGAGGTTTTTCATCCAGTTTCCCTGAATTCTCTTGACAATGCAAGATGCGCCTTGCTTGCTACTGGAATATATCAAGCTTCATTATCTGCATAATTTTCTTAGTGATCAGTAGGGAATGTTAATTATAGAATAATTATTCATCTATGTTATTGTGGGCAGAAAATCAATTCTGTCATGAATGGTGATTGATAAGGCATAACAGCAAACTTCTGTGGTATGATATGCCATTGCAATTGGTTTTTAATTACATGAGGGTGAATATTTGTTAAAAATTTTCTTGCCAAAAATGCTGTATACTACTTGTTTTCATAATTCAACTTAGCAGAGGCATAACAGCACACTTCTGTGCGCTTGAGATGCCATTGCAATTGGTTTTTAATTACATGGAGGGTGAATATTTGTAAACAATTCTTGCCAAAGAAATGCTTGTAACTACTTGTTTTCATATTTCAACTTAGCAGAGGCTTACCGAAATAATTCTTTGGATAATCTTAACATTTAAATCTTGCTTCACAATAAAATTTCTTCATTGTGTGCTTTGGTGTAAAATGTTTATATGTAGAAATGCTAACAGAAGAAAAAGCCTATAAACCTAAATTCTTCAAACGATTATCTTTCTGGCAAGAACCTACTCAAATAGGACATTATGACATAT